GCCGGGCCCCATCCTACCTTTGATTAATTCATTTATTCATTAATTTTCCTTTTTTGGAACTGATGCAAGTACAAGCTATCTTTAAAGCAATATAGAAAGTGATGAATATTTAAGGATAAATTTTATTGTCTTATTTGCATTCACTTTTACTTCTTTATGTCAAAATTTGTTTATCTATTTGAATGCCAAGGGAGGAGAGACAGAAAGAGATCTTCCATTTACTGGTTCATTTCCTAAATGAAATGGCCAGGAATCAGGAACTTCATCTGTGTCTCCCACATGAATGGAGGGGCCCACACACTTGGGCCATCTTGAGATGCTTTTCCCAGGCCTTTAGTAGTGAGCAGGATTAGAAATGGAACAGCCAAGACACAAACCAACATCTATATGGGATGCTAGCATTGCAAGTGGCAACTTTAACCCTATACCACCATTTCTACTTCTGAAATAGCATATATACTATGCAGGGTCGGTTTTTCTCATTGAACTCTCATTGCAGGATAAATAGTTTAAAAATTGAAATAAGAAATTCTTCTAGTAAAAAAAAAATCCCTTTGGCCTGGCACAATGGCTGAATCCACTTATTCTCAGCCAACAAGAATAGGATCTCATATGGGCACTGGTTCATGTCCTGGCTACTGCACTTCTCTTCCAACTCATTGTTTGTGGTCCAGGAAAACAGTGGAGGATGGTCCAAAGCCTTGGGACCCTGTGCCCAGGTGGGAGACCAGTAGAAACTGCTGGCTCCTGGCTTTGGACTGGCTCAGTTCTTGTCTTTACAGCCATTTGGGGAGTGAACCAGCAGATAGAAGCCCTGTCTCTCTGTGTCTCTCCTTCTCTCTGTAAATCTCCCTTTCCAATAAAAATAAATAAATGTTAAAAAAAAAACCTTAAAATGTTTGAATATATGTGGTTTGTGAAATGTATTTTGATAGCCACAAAAGGTTCCAGCTCTTACCTAGATTAGTAAAAACTCCCAAATAAGAAAGGTTGTGCCCTCATAGTATTGTAGAAGCCAAGTGTTAAAAGTAGCGTGTATATATTGGCATTCTTAAACTAAGCATAGCAGCATGACCTGTTTTGTTTTGTTTTTTTCTTAAGTCATTGATTTGCTTTTTATTGGTTTTAACCTTTATGGTAAAGGAGTCATCAGCCAAGGTATGTGTTGAGGAAGACTTTCTAATGCTCCTCTTCTAAATTCAAATTTTAGGTTCCTTTTTGAAGTTTAGCATCCATCACTGTTTACAAGATCGCTCCTAAGTTGCAAAAATTCTTTCCATGTTTTTTCCTCTGAACATGACCTTTTCTTGTCACGTCAAACACAAAGAACTTATTATTGAACATCGTCTTTCTGTAAGCAGCTAAATTCTGTCACTGAATTGTTAGTTGCTTTGAGGTGCTTTTCAAATTTTCTTTCTTTCTTTTTTTTTTTTAATCAAAGTTTAGTGCTTTGTCAGATTTTTTTCTTCTAGAAATTCTGCCCACTGAACATTTTCAATGGAGGATAGCAGGTAGATTTTGTTTGTACTGTGGATATTTACTTTTTCCCCCAATTTTTAGAACACTGATATTTTAAAATGTTTGGTTTTTAGAGCTGAAATTCACAGTTTCAGCTATCTGAATTGTCAGTTTTCAGTTATCTTTATTGTCAGAAAGCTCTGTAGCTAAAGAGGAATCGAAGCAGGAGAGATCTTGAAAGAAACCAGTAACTGAAGTGCTTATTGCTGTGTGAGTGAGTAGTACTTTCTTTGCTATGTGAGAAATATTAAATAGAACAGCAGGTCTTTAAAAGTTATTATCTAAGGTGATATTAACAAGTGAGTTTGGTTTAATTGAAAATTAACTGTTCATATAATAAACCTTTGAAGCTGTCTTTCCCAGTGAATCCTGAAGCTTGGTAGTTGGGGGACAGGTTAGGGATCTGCTTGGTCATTTTGAATTGCGATTAAACATGTATGTTAAAAATATTTTTATCTTTTTTCAACTCTTGCTCTAGTTGTCAGGCATTTCATTTCACAACCTCATTTCTTCTCCCTGTTTTTGCGAACATTTCACTAGTCAGGAAAAGAAATCAAATAAGCCTCTTTGTGAAGTGTCACTGAACTGTATTTAACTTCTGCACTTTTCTCGTCTGTTGGATTTCTGTGTTGGTCTGTTCACTGACTGCTGTAGCCGTAGTTCTGAGCATCCTGTGGAAGCCGGGACCCCAGGGGGAGGATGTGAGTTGTGCTGACCCTTGGCCTTCCCTGTCTTCAGTGTCTGTGAGCTCCTTTCTGACAGCTCTCACAGAGCAGTGTTGCTAAGCACATAACTTTGCTTGCCTCTTTCCTTCGCATTTTCTCTGTTATTGAATTGTTTTTTATTTTGGCTATGAAATATGAAAACCCATGAAGAACAGTATAACAAACATCCAGGTACCCATGTCTCAAAATAACAAATGAAAGCATAGTTACCATATAAAATTTGTTTGTTTATTTTCATTCTATTTGAAAGCCAAAGAGATAAAACAGAGAGAAACAGAGAATCTTCTGCCCACTGGTTCACTTCCCAGATGCCTACAACAACTAGGACTGGGAAGGCAGAAGCCAGGAATTCAGAACTCAATTCATGTCTCCCACACAGGCTGCCAAGCACTTGAGCCATCATTCCTGGGCAGTGGAGCCAGGCCTGGAAACCAGGCCTCGTAAAATGGGATGTGGGTATCCCAAGCAGTGTCTTAACCACCTCCTAGAGTTAAATTTTCAAAATAGAAAACTTCAAATAAAATTGGAGTCCTCTTTGTATTCTTCCCTGGTCCCATCTTTCTCCTCTAGAGAAGCGAGCAGAACATACAATCCCCCCATATTCTCTCAGCCCATTTTCTGTGTTTACTGCACAAAGGTGCTTCAGAAAGTTCATGGAATGTGGAAGGAGATAATTTGGGTTAAAAAAAAAAATCAAAGATGCTTGCTTAGTTTTCTCATACCGTGCATCTTCATAAAGGCTGTGAAGATCTCTCCTGTGTATGGATATAAATTTTTTCTACCAAGATGAATTTAATCATTCTAAACTGTTTGGTTGTTTGTTTACATTTTAGAAAATGTTACGGTACAATTTCATAGGCTCAGAGATTCACCCTCCTTGTCCCCAATTTTCCTCCCTCCACTGATTTCCCCTATATTAATTCAATAGTATAGTCCTGCAAAGACAGTCATGGGTCCAGTATTCTGCTATGTAAGCGTGTCCTGTCATTGTGTATATAGACAGTGACAGAATTCTAGTAACCAGTGGTCCGGATATATTTGACAGTTTCATTGGGAGTCCATCTTTGATTTGGAAGTAGAGATGCACACTGCATTGTATCTTCACATCTCAATATGATAGTCTCTATTATACAGTTCTTTTACGTTATTATATGTTGATGCTTGGTTGATTTTGTATTTTGCATGAAGGTTGTCTTATATGACAAATATAATATGAAAAAAAGATATGAATTTATGTTTAAGTTATAGTTTTTCTTGGACTTTTTTGAAGTACCCTCATATATGTATGCATCCATCTGGTTGCTGTATTAGATATTTGCTTGCCTAGTATTAAAGAGTTGAATTTAAAATTTTCTTAAGATTTGTTCATTAATTAAATTAGTTGCAGAGAGAGAGTGAGATCTTGTATCCACTGGTTGTGCTCCTCAGATGGCCACCTGAAATGTGATCTGGGTCTCTCAGACGCGAGTGGCAAGGCCCAAGCACTTAGGCCATCTGCTGCTTTCCCCAGGCCTGCTATTATAGGGCTGGGGTGGAAGCAGAGCAGCCAGGACTCAAACCAGCATACATATGGGATTCTGTCATCACAAGGGGAGGCTTAACCACTTAGACCATAGTGTCATCTCCAGCTTTAAGGTTTTTGAGGGCCTGGTACGGTAGCATAATGTTTAAGTACCTCGCCTTGAAACACGCCAGGATCCCATATGGGTGCCGGTTCTAATGCTGGCAGCTCCACTTCCCATCCAGCTCCCTGCTTGTGGCCTGGGAAAGCAGTCATGGACGACCCAAAGCCTTGGGACCCTTCACTTGTGTGGGAGACCCAAAAGAAACTCCTAGCTCCTGGCTTCAGGTAGGCTTAGCTCCAGCCTTTGTGGCCATTTGGGGAGTGAATCATCAGAGGATCTTCCTCTCTCTGTGTCTTTCCTCTCTGTACATCTGCCTTTCCAATAAAATAAATAAATTTTTAAAAAGAAAAAAAAAAGATTTTTGTAAAAAAGTTTCTAAAATTCTGTACTTTGCTTTTTTAACTAATGTTTTTAAGATTTATGTATGTTTGTGCAGATTGATTTTCACTATGAAAATACCACAATTTATCTATCCTTAGGTAATGGATGTTTTTATTGATTTTATTGATTTTTTTCCATGTAATTGGCCTGCTTTGGGTATGTGGTCAGTCATCCAGGTGGGGGCTTATTACAGCTATAATCTTGTACCCAGCCTTTCCCTGAAGAATCTACAGTGCAATAGCAAATGCAGAACTCAGTGTAGAAATAAGATGGAGCATTAACTGAACTCTTTGCAGTTCCCATAACTTCTCTTTTCCTGCAACTCTTATAACCTTTTTGTTGCTAGCTTGATTTCTGAAAGTTGCTGTGCTTTAGGAATAAATCTGTAACTTAAAAATAATGTGCTTGGGGCCCAGCACGATAGTCTGGTGGCAATGTCTTCACCTTGCATGTGCTGGGATCCCATATGGGTGCTGGTTCGTATCCTGGCTGTTCCACTTCCCATCCAACTCCTTGAGTGTGGCCTGGGAAAGCAGTTGAGGACGGCCCAAAGCCTTGGGACCCTTCACTCATGTGGGAGACCCGGAAGAGGCTCCTAGCTCTTGGCTTCAGGTAGGCTTAGCTCCAGCCTTTGTGGTCACTTGGTGAATGAGCCAGCAGATGGAATATCTTTCTCTTTCTCTCCTTCTCTTTGTCAATCTGACTTTTCAATAAAAATAAATAAATCTTTAAAAAAATGTGTTTCTTTCAGGTGTATGTTCTAACTGCCAGGAAAATAGTCGAGGGGATCACTGTGAAGAATGCGAAGAAGGATTTTATCAGAGTCCTGATGCCAGTGCAGGCTGTCTTCGCTGCCCTTGCTCAGAAGTAACATCCACAGGAAGCTGCACTATAAGTAAGACCTTTCTCTGATTCTTCGTTTTCGAGGTGCAGGGGGTCGGGGTATCAGTGAATCAGTGATCAATAGGTATAAATTTCATTGATAAATGAAGTTATGGATGCTGTAAGTGGAAGGAAGTTATGAAAAAAGGAATTCACAGTGTAACCCATATATATCATATACATGAAATCACAGTATAATTTTGTGTAATTCACAAAAGCTCAATGTTTGCTAACTTGGGTCAAGGTACCATTCACTAATTATCCTTCCAAGGTTCTTCATCCAGATAGCAGGGGTCCAAATACTTGGACCATCTTGTGTTGCTTCTCCCAGACCATTAGTAGGGAGCTGGTTTGGAAGTGGAGCAGCTGGACATGAACCCCTGCCCATACTAAACATGAGCCTATGCCAGTGCTGGATGCCAGCATTACAGCCTGCAGCTTCATCTTTCCTGCCACAGCACTGGCCCTACAAATATAGATTTGTCTTACTAATGTAGCTCACCTACGAATTATCTATCGCTGTGTAACCAATTACAGGTTAAGTATTGCTTATCTGATATGCTTGAGATCCGTAAGTTTCTTAAATTTTGGAATATTTGCGTTCATGTAAAATATTTCAGCAATAGAACCCAAGTCTAAACACAATTAATTTATGGATTTCATTGACAGAATCCATTTTGTATATACATACCCTGAAACTATTTTTATACCATGTTTTCAGTATACTTGTGTTTTGACTACAGTCTCATCTGTTCATGAGATCAAATGTAGAATTTTCCACGTAGGACACCATTTCAGTGCTCAGGATATTTTGTATTTTGGAGAATTTTGAGTTCTTTAATTAGGATCCTCAACCTCTACCTTAAAGTTAGCGGCTTAAGATAATAAGCACTCACTACTTCCTGTCACTTCTGCTTACCTGGGGTGGTTTGCTTTGCATTCTTCCTTCCCACCCTCTTTTTCTCCTTACCCTTTAGATAACAGCTTTATTGAGAAATAATTACCATTCCATATATTTATTTAAAATGTGTGGTTCAATTTTTTTTTTTTAGTAAACACAGGCACACACAAACACACTCACATAATGTTGCCAACCATTGTCACAGTTACTTTTAGAACATTTTGTCACCCTAACTTTAAAAAAATAAAAGCAATCCTATACCTGTTACCCTGAAAACAAGTGATATAAAAGAGAGATTGAAATTGCCATGTATTTTGTAGCCTCATACCTGCACAAGAGGGAGTGCCAGGAGGGCAGGGATCATGAGGAACCATCTTAAAAACAGGCCAGAAGGAGGCTCAGGGCTCCTGGCTTCGGGTCAGCTGAGCTCTGGCCATTGTGGCCACTTGGGGATTGAATCAATGGATGGAAGATTCTCTTTGTCTTTTTCTTTTCTGACTTTCACAATAAAAACAAAAACAAATATTTAAAAAAAAAAAAAGACTTGGGGCCTGGCACGGTGGCCTAGCAGATAAAGTCCTCACCTTGAACGTGGCATAATCCCATATGGGTGCAGGTTCTCATCCCGGCAGCTCCACTTCCCATCCAGCTCCCTGCTTGTGGCCTGGAAAAGCAGTTGAGGATGGCCCAAAGCTTTGGGACCCTGTACCCACATGGGAGACCTGGAAGAGGTTCCTGGTTCCCAGCTTTGGATTGGCACAGCACCGGCCGATGCACTCACTTGGGTAGTGAATCATCAGACGGAAGCTCTTCCTCTCTGTCTCTCCTCTCTGTATTTCTGACTTTGTAATAAAAATAAATAAATCTTAAAAAAAAAAAGACTTTATAGCTTTACAGGAATTATAAACAAGAAATTGTGTTAGTCCTTGGGACATCTAAAATATCTTTTCTTTCGAACTCAGGGCATATGAAATTGCTTTACAAATGATTGTTAACTTCACTTTCATGTGATGTTTAAAATTTAGAAGTTTTCTCTAGAGAATTATGATACCTAACAAAAGCACTGTGCTTGAATCTTTTGTTCTTGTCTGGCTTTTCCAGAGACTGTAGGTTCTACAAGGCATTTTTAACCATTGCATCTCCACTTGTAGCCCAATTAGAATTATGAATGCTAATAACAATACATGCTGAGTAGAAAGATGCTTCAATTCTTGATCTTTCCCTTCTTCTCTCTCTGCAAATCTCTTTCAAGTAAAAATAAATAAATCTTTTTAAAATTAAAAGAAAAGGTATAATTGCTGCAGTGGGATTGGAGAGACCTCCAGTGATGAGAAGATCTTACTGAGCTGTAGCAGAGAGGACTTGAGAGCTGGTCAGAAGGCAGATGGAGAGAAGGGGCACTGAGAGGGAAGCTGTCTCTTGCCTGACATAAGTGGGCGGATGCTGGTACTACTCTCCGTGACAAAGGAGAGTTGAGGGGAAGACGGGACACTGGCGGGGGGGCGAAGGTTGAGGGCAGTGTTGTGCGGGTCTTATCTGAGATGTGTGTGCATCCGGGCATACCGGAAGTTAGCATACACTTTGAAGTGTGGAACAGGGATACAGACGAGAGATACACATTTTGGAATTGTCAGCAGTTCAGTGGCTAAGCTCATTCATGGAGAATGCTCAGGGTGAGAAGGAGAAGAAACCAAGAATTGAAGTCTGGAAAGGATCACCATTTAAGGTGGAGAGAAATGGAAGGAATTTTTATCAAAACCATATATTCTGCTTACTCTGTCACATCCAAAAGGGAAGGAAATTTATTTTTCTTATTATAAGTTTATTTTATTGAGATGTTTACATAGTTGGGAAGGAGGTGTGCCCATGTGACCACTGATTAGAGTGGGGAGGGTCAAAGTAAGGGGGGAAAGTGAATGAAAGAATTGCTTTCAATACAGATCTGGAGGAGGAAGGCAATGAAGGGGAGAGAGCCGCTCCTAGCAAACCACCCTCATCAGTACCCAGGGCTGAGGGACGGCCACTTGATGTCATCCCGACGTTTCCAGTGTGGAGTGTGTTCTGAGGGTACTGGTTAAGTGGTTTCAGTAGTTTTGAAATGCTGGTGATTTCGTTGTTCCAATGAAGGAAGGAAATTAAAAATAAAAGCATGAGAATGCCAGTTTACCACAATGATTTGGACTCTTGGTGTAAGCATATTGCTGTTGCTATCTGTCTGAACAAATTCTCTGAATGGCTTCATGAGTTTTACAGTTTTCTAGAAAGTTAGTAAATAAAATATAGATGATGAGTTTGGTTATTGTGTATGTGTTTCTTTTGAAAAAAAATTTTTTTAAAATCAGAGTTAGAGAAAGAAGGAGAGAGAGATGGAGAGAGATGGTCCATCTGCAGGTTCACTCCTGAGATGGCCATTGTGATCACTGGAGTTGGGCTGAAGACCTAGAGCCAGGAGCTTAGGCCAGGTCTCCCACATGAATAGCAAGGGTCCAAATTCTTGGGACATCTTGCACTGCTTTTCCCAGGCCTTCAGCAGGAAGCTGAAATAGAAGTGGAGCAATCAAGACATGAACTGAAGCCCACAAGAGATGCCAGCATCACAAGTGGTAATTTTACTGGGTACCATACATACCTGCCCCTCCATGTGCCTCTAAGATTGAGAGGAGAGGGCCCATGCAATGACTCATGAGCTAAATTATTACCCTGCACACACCAGGATCCCCTATGGGTGCCAGTTCACGTCCCAACTGCTCCACTTCCCATCCAGCTTCCTACTTGTGGCCTAGGAAACAGTTGAGGATGGCCCAAAGTTTTGGGACCCTGAACACATGTGGGAGACCCAGAAGAAACTCCAGGCTCCTGGCTTCAGATTGGCTCAGCTCTGGCCATTGCAGCCAGTTAGGGAGTGAACCAGTGCGTGGAAAATCTTCCTCTCTGTATTGCTGCCTCTTTCTAAATCTGCATTTCTAATAAAAATAAGTAAATCTTGAAAAAAAACATGTAGAGGAGATAATAAGGATGTTTTATACATCTTCAGGATTAGCGATTGTTTTGCATTATGAAGTGATTTTTGGCGTTCTCTCTTTTTTTTTAGAATCAGGTGAATCAGAACCTAAATGTAGCCAGTGTAAAGATGGTTACACAGGCCCAAACTGCAATCAATGTGAAAATGGCTATTACAATTCTGACAGCATCTGTGTGAAATGCGAGTGCCATGGCCACGTGGACCCAATTAAAACTCCAAAGATTTGCAAGCCCGAGAGTGGTGAGTGCATCAACTGCCTCCATAATACCACTGGATTTCGGTGTGAGAACTGCCTGGAAGGTTATGTTCAAGACCTCGAGGGAAACTGCATCAAGAAAGGTAAACCCTCTCCTAAGGTTGTACATTTAATACCTAAACTAACAGTGAACATTTCAGGACAGCTGCCTTTAGCATCCTAACACCTGCCACTCCCGCCAGAAGAGTTTCTGGAATAGGTTCTGACAGGTACGTGTCTGAAAAGATCTCCTTCCATTCCTGCTGCTCTCCCGACTCCCCAAAGCCACTCCAGACGCGTGAGGACCAAGACCAAGTCCCTGGCGACAGTGAGACAAATTCTCCTCCCATTTTCCCTTCATCTATTTTTATTTTTGTGTTAATGGTTTGAAAGTCCTGTCATTTCTTTTATCTTTTGGCTTCCTTTATTCTCATTACTTCCAGTGATCATCAAAGATTCAAAGATCCTTTTCAAGCAAGGACCTATAATCTGGTTAGAAGTTCCGTCTTAGAAACTGGAGTTCATTGTAACAACTTTCTCACTTGGAACCTAAGTTTCCCCATGTATGTTGGAGGAAATCATAACAATGTTCTTTTTTATGTTTTAAAAGAAACATTTTTAAAGAAAAGATTATGCATATGGCAAAACGTTTCCTATGGGGACGTTCAGTAAGGATTAGAAAAAAAAAAGTAATTATTTTAAATTCTGGAATAGTTAGGGGTGTCCAACGTTTCTTAGGTCACAGAGAGATTTCAGACTCTGTTCTGCAGATTGTTCTTCCCATTCTAACAGATGCTCAGGACCAAGCCAAGCAGTTGGTCTGTGGCAAGTGCAACATTTCTGCCATTTGCTTGACTTCCATAAGCTGCATGCTTGAGACTAAACGAGTCCAAGCGAGCTCTGTCACTCAGTTCTTTCCCACGTGAGACACATTCAGTGTCCGTACTCACGTGACGGGTCTCTGATGCTCTGTCTGGTCAGTTATTAGGATAAATTGATATGGCTGTTTGTGGTAATGGATTATAATGCTGATCCTAGTGATTTTATAGAGCACTGTGTGCCGAGCACTGCGAACGTTCAGTCTGATCATGCCTTATAGCATGTCATCTTTCCCAAGAACTCTGCAAGGTAGACTTTGTTCTCATTCTCTGGAGGAGGAAACCTGCGGGTGTAAGAAGACTGGCTTATCTACAGCAACATAGCTCTGCTTGATTCCAAAGCTTTTGACTCTTCCACTGGGCTATGCTGTCATGGAATTACAAAACGTGAGACTTAAATTACAAAGTAGCTGTAATCGTCAAAAAGGGAGAATTCCTACTCATGGAGTGAAAGAAAAGCTGTTTTCTCTCTTGTCTGACATCAACTTCGGACATTTAGATTGTGTTGTTCAGATCTGATTAGAGACAGTTTTTCCTGCACCACCTCTGAGAAAAAATTTACCATTATCAAATGCCATCAGATACATTTTTTTTTTAGTTTAAATGATTGAAATTTATCATCCTAACTATGTGTTTTAGACTCAACACAGACACATTAACTGCTTGTTAAGAATGGATATTACTGTATCTGTGAGTAAGAGGTGGAAAGCTTAATTCTCCCAAAGATTTTAATATAGATATTATACATATTGAAGGACATCCATAGATGTAAGAAGTTAACTTCCTAGAACTGTTCATCACTCTATTTCTTTAGAAATTATTTTTGACTTGCATACTTTAAAGCAGAGCATCATGTCAACACCTCACGTCAGCATCCATTCCATGTGTGTTTCTTTTATTGTTTCTCAAAACTAGATACATTTCATTCTCTGTTTTTGTTTTCAGCAGTTATTGTTCCAACACCTGAAGCTTCTACCATTTTGGTTTCCAATGCCTCTTTGACCACATCAGTGCCCACCCCTGTTCTAAACAGTACCTTCACCCCCACAACCCTGCAGACTATCTTTTCAGTAAACTCTTCTGAAAACAGCACTTCAGCTTTAGCTGATGTATCATGGACTCAGTTTAACATCATCATTTTGACAGTCATCATCATCGTGGTGGTGCTGCTGATGGCATTTGTGGGGGCTGTGTACATGTACCGGGAGTACCAAAATCGGAAACTCAATGCCCCCTTTTGGACCATCGAGCTGAAAGAAGACAATATCAGTTTCAGCAGCTACCATGACAGCATTCCCAATGCAGATGTGTCGGGACTATTGGAAGATGATGGCAATGAGGTAGCTCCCAATGGGCAACTGACCCTGACGACACCCATCCATAACTACAAAGCCTGACAAACTGGAACTCTCCTCCTGGATTGTAAACCACAGTGCTTGCTGAGACTGCGTCAGCCTCTGACCAGACCAAGCCTGGGTAGAATTCACTGAGAAGGCAAAGGCAGATCTGAGCTGCTCAGATACAAATCCTAATGCACTTGGCCTACCTATTGCTCTTGGTTTACCCATGAAATCTGAAGCATTCATCATCATGAAGGATTCGAAGCAAAGTATATTTTTGTACTAAATCACGTGGGAATATGGAAAGGCTGAATCAAACTGTGCAGCCCCCAGTCCGCTTTGACCCTCAAGTAAATTCTTGGAGAAATGTTCACCAAACCAAAAGTACCAGGATGATGAATGTGGAGAGGGAAAGGAGTGCTGCAAGACTTCATCTCCCTTCCCAAAACTTGCTCTTTTTTTTTTCTTTTTTTAAGGAAACAAAAAGGAGGATCAGGGATTAAGTTTATTTTGCTGTACAACAACACTTCATTGAGGAAAAGCTGGAGTTTCAGCTGTATTACTATAAACAATCTTGATTGTTCTGGAATGGGGCAGAATAGTCCCAAGAAGATTTTTAGAAGGGCTTGATTTTTTTCTCCCAGGGTTCATGCTCTGGTGGGGAGATTGAAGCACAGGATAAGCTAAAGGCAGAGAGCATAGGCAGCAACGGGGAGCAGGAAGCTAGTGGTCCTCCTCAGGGTGTCCGTGTGAATGGCAAATTGTCTACAAATAAGGAGTATTCCTGCTTCTAGAGTAAGATGTATATAGTTAATGTAGGATATCTGGTCAACATTGTATTTGTATCTATTTGTAAAAAAAAATCATGTCATATTTTATCATCTAGAATTTATTTGTACAGCATTTAATGGCATTGTAAAAAGAAAACAGGGAGTGGTTAAATTACTGTAAAAGAGACAGCAATGTTGCTAGAGCTGGGACTCTGGAAATATCACTCATGCTTAGTCCCTCTTTGGACATTGTTGGAACTTCTAAGAGTTAAATGTTTCTAATCTTTTCTCAGTCTAAAAGTAGAGTTATATGCTCTTTGACTTGCTGTTGGATTCAAGCAATAGATTCTGAAGTCAAAATCTGTAAGCTGGGACACAAGCTGCATTCTCAAAAATGCCCACCTAAGTTAACCCTAGCCACTCCATAGATTTTATACAATTGATAAGCCACCATATGCTCATTAAAAGGTGTTTTTTCTTTTTAAACCCCTGAATGTAAAAGACAGTCTTCCAAAGGATTGAAATATTTCAGTTCCAAAAGAAAAGCCATCCCACCACTTGGGGTCCCTAGCTTTCATTCTTGTGAAATATTTTATCCCTCATCAAAACTAAAAAGCTTCCTCTTCTTTGAATGTAGCTTGTCACTCCCTCACCGTGATGTTTGTGCAGCTTCTCATCCACAGTTGAGTGTGTGTGGTTGGTCTTCGCTGTCCTCAGCTCCTGTGAGGCTGACAGGTTGTGGATTAGGCGAGCCAGCCAAGGGGGCCCAAAGTCCAATGCAGACATTTATTAAGAGGAACAACAAGCTGTGAAATGATTAGGAAACAGTAGACTCCTTGTTAGCTTAGACTTAGAAAATCCAAGGTGACCCTTTTGCCTAACTTCCTTAGAGAAAAACCTAGGCTTTGGGAAACTCCTACAATGCTCTCAGGATTTGGAGGTGGTGCCCTGGAAAGGTGCAGGCGAGGGCTCTACAGTGACCCAAGCATGTCCTGCCATCATTCATAAAATTAGAGATTCCATGACATTAGACTCATTCAATATTTCTGTCACTGTTTGTAGTTTGCAAAGGACTTTCCCATGTGTATCCTTTGTTCCTCACCATGGCCCCCAAGCAAGGAATTATCACCCCCATTTTACAGACAAGAAGGCTGAGGCACAGAGGTGCTAAATGTCTTGTTCGAGACTAAACACAATGCGTGGCATTAGTAGGCTTGAGATCGAGACTCCTGACTTAGATTCATATGTACAATAACACATAAATTGCCTGGCTGGGGACCTAAGACAGTTGGGAGGAAAGTCCCTTTTGTGGATGTTTGTAGATTATTAAAATTAAATACCACGTTCCAGGCCTTTTAGCTATTGGTAAGACTTTGTGGAAAGAACCACAGAACTACTGTACAGAGTACAAGTTCGAAACCTGCCCATTTATGCTGTATTAAACTGACCTACTCCCCTAAGCTGCTTGTGCCTGCATAGACTGCGCCAAGTGGTAGATCCACCTTCCTCCCTGACATGCACTTCAGCCCCTGCCAGAAAACAGCATTGAGGATGGTGAGAGGCAAACATTAGCTGAAAGGAGCTAGCTCAATCAAGAAAATGTTTGGTGGAATCCAGAACCGAAGCTAAGTAGTATTGACTCTGTGAAGAGTTCTGGCAACAAATCTTCAAACATTATTGCAAAAATGAAATTGCAATGAACATTTACCCTTAAAGTACCTGTTAACGTCTCCTAGGTCATGTCCTTATTTTATTACCCCGGAGAAGTAAAGTGAAGGTCCTAAACTTTGTTTGATGGATGCTTTAGTGTGGCGCAGCCTTTTGCTGTGAAATGTAAATCCGTCTTGAAGTGATCTGCCACTGATATCAGACATGACAGCTCTGTGGAACGCACGGGCAGCCTTCGTCTCTAAAGGCATGAGCCTGGGAACTGCGGTGTGCTGCCGTGGGCCCCAGCAGTCCTTGCAAAGCCTCATCCTGGAAACCGTTTTTTGTCTAAGGATTTGAAAGTGTTTATTTTGTGAATCTTCTTGAGAAATGACAGAAACTGCTATGAACTAGTACTCTTGTCATGTAGTCCATCTGGCCAGCCCATGTGCGTTTCTGACCCTTCAGTGCTTTAGGTGGTGTCAGGAGTGGCCTCGTCCTTTCTGTCTCTCCTCTCAGGACTCTCTTACCTAGAAATGACCTTGTATGCTTGATGTCCCCCTGCCCCAGGGCTGCTTGGGCTTTAAAAGAGGAAAGCGGAGCAGTTATGGGATTGGAGGAGTGAGATTTCTTTTTTTTTTTTTTTTTGGAGGCGGGCAGGGGGCAGGATTTGTAGAAGCCTCCAATTACATGGCTGCTCTCGGCCACAATGTTTCCTGGAAAAGAACCCTGAAAGCAATACTTATGGACCTGAAAACAGAGAAGGAACAGAGTAACCTGTTAGAGAAAGAAAGGCCTCCAGAGAATGCTCATAGTCTGTTGTTGTCTTCTCGCTAGTAAGGACTTTGGGAGCTAAAACGAGTTGGGTGTGAGGGCATTCTCCCTACCCTGAGCCAGTGACCAGGACGGCAGGCAGAAAGCAGCCAGAAAGAGGCCTCTGCAGACACTGGGTGAGAACCAGCGCGCTGATGGCTATGCAGCCCCAGCGTGTTAGCGGATAATGCGGCTTTTTCAAAGGCATCTGGGAAGCTTGCTTTTGTGTTTCTTATGCTAGGTAGTAACTGCAGTGGCGGCCCTAGGTTAGCCCAGAGGTTCCGAGCTAAATTAATCCAGAAGTGCTGTGATTTACAGTCAAGTTGCAATGCTAGGCACAGGCACTCTGCAATCAGTTAAATTCCTGCCCAAGCAATTAGGGAATGTTTCTGAAACATTAAACGTGTATTTATGTCACTAAAATTCTAACACAAATGTTAAAAACACGTCTCATACATAGGCTGTACTAGGAGGCTTCATGATGCATTTCTAAATTTGTGTATGATTTGAATATATGAAAGAATTTATACAAGAGTGTTATTTAAAATTATTAATAAATGTATATAATTTGTACCTATTGTATTTGTTTTACTTTTTATGTGTTCAGAGTTGTTACAAGTCCATATGTGTGTATGTATGTGTATACCAGGAATCATTTGTTATCTATTTCATGGAAAGTCTTTTTTCTGAAAATTTATTTATTTTTATTTGAAAGGCAGATTTACAAAAAGAACAAAAGAGAGAGAGAGATCTTCCATCCTCTGGCTCACTCCCCAAATGGACCCAAGGGCTGGAGCTGATCTTATCCAAAGCTAGAAGCCAGCAGTCTCCTTCTGGGTCTCCCATGTGGGTGCCAAGGCCCAAGGATTCAAGCCTTTCTCTGCTGCTTTCTCAAGTCACAAGCAAGGAACTGGATTCATAGTGGAGCAGCTGGGTCTCAAACTGGCACCTGTATGGGATGCCAGCACCACAGATAGAGGATTAGCTTGCTATGCCACTATAGCAGCCTGAAAAATTATGTTCCATCATTTATTGGATATGCACTTTAACTTTACTTAAACAATGTTTTCCGGGCCCAGTGCGGTGGCCTAGCAGTTAAAATCCTCGCCTGGAACGCACTGGGATCCCAAATGGGCACCGGTTCTAATCCTGGCGGCCCCGCTTTCCATCCAGCTAACTGCTTGTGGCCTGGGAAAGCAGTCGAGTACAGCTCAAAGCCTTGGAACCCTGCACCTGTGTGGGAGACCTGGAGAAAGTTCCTGGCTCCTGGCTTCGGATTGGCGCAGCACCAGCTGTTGGGGTCAGTTGGGGAGTGAATCATCGGACAGAATATCTTCGTCTCTGTTTCTCCTCCTCTCTGTACATTTGACCTTGCAATAAAAATAAATAAATATTTTTGAAAAAAAAGAATGTTTTCCACTTAGGCAAAAAAAATTATATATGTACATATATATTATATATAATAACATATATTATACATATTATATATATTTATACACACATACATATGCCATACAAAGAAGATTTCTACTCTTTAAAAAACACAAACACCCAAGAAAATGTTAAAAATATACGTGAATATATTTCTTTAATAGAGATAAGGAAAAAATTTGTGTGTGTGGCCTTGCCTCTGTAGGGTGCTTAATCTCCTTCTTAACTTAAGAGTGGGGGAGAGGGAGAGCTTCCGCTCGCTGGCCCAACCCCCTGCCTGTGAATGTACTGAGACCTGGCCAAACCCAGGAACCAGCATGCAGTTCAGGTCTCCCACCTGGGCGTCAGGAAGCCCGTCCCTGGAGCAGCCCCTGCCTCCCAGCGTCTGTGTGGGCAGGCAGGCAGAACCCGGAGCTGGAGCCAGGGGTCGAGCAAACCCAAGCATTGGCGCCCTCAGCAGTAGACTAAACATCCACCCCGAGGACACGTCTGTTACTTCAACACACCCTCGAGGACCCTATATTTGGACAAAGCTAACCTCTGCGTAAAGGGATGCCATCTAAAGAGCTAAGAGATACTTCAGGAAACAAGGAAAAATAAGGCAGGCATGTCTTTCTTTGGGTTGAGAACTTTATCAACTTGAATAGGTTTATGCAAATAAAGTTGTTCAATATTTCTGTTCTAAAACACTTTTCTAGTCACAGAAGACATTTTTGTCAATAGAAGAGTAGACATATTATATAATATAAGCCTGGAGTGCCAGAGGAGATGTCTAAAATACTTTTGTAGCCTTGTGTTCATCCTTGTGATGGAAGTCTACCAAGACATTTACTAGATTGCATTATCAATGTTGGTTATATTTAGAGTTTCCAAAAGTACATAAATGTTGAAAAAGATCCACATGCTTCCTTCTAATGAAGACAATAGGTTTAAAGTAACAATTGTATGCTTAGTTATATTTAAAAAAAAAAGTTTAAAAGCAATAACTTTCTTGAGGTGACAGTGTTGGGAGTTAGTGAGCTGGCAAGATAAAAAAGAAGGATTCTTGATGAATATTAAAATCATAGTCTTATCTACAAGTTTTCAAGTCAATTTTATGAATAAATCAGTGATTATTTTAAGGGTTTCTTATAGTTCTGCTCACAAATGAAAGTCAGCAGACAATGTTACCTTACAATATATTGCTTGTTTATATTAGTAATAAATAGGCTTTAAACCTTCTGTGTTGAATTGAACCCTGTGCTAAAGGCAATTGTGGAGGAAAACAGGTAGAAGTTCTCTTTGTGCATAATAAGCACAGGTTTGGGTACAGGTGAAATGAATGGGAGGAAATCTTCCATGGTTTCCATTATGCTGTCAGGTCAGTTGCTACAATTGTATGTGTCAATTTTTAAAAAAAAAATCTCTATTCGAAATTAGGAAGCATCTCAGGCCTTTGCCGTGTTCATTAGCATTCTAATGCAATCCTGTGTAACTCGTGTGCCATGACAGGTTATAGACACCTTTCTCCCTTGACTGATAATGTTTTGTGTACAGCATTCTAGAGAATGCTTACCTTTCTGTGCATTGATAAAGAGAAGTTGATCGCTTCTTATTTTGTACACCTCAGTTGTGGCTAATCACCACCACTAGCTAGCTGCATGTATTTTGTTGTAAATACCTGTTACGTGTATATCTTCCCCAGTAGCCTGTCTATTCCTTGAAACCTGAAGCATGTAACCTTCTATCTCTGGTATTTGGGTGCTCAATAGATGGTTTCAAGCAAAAGGCCATTGCCCATCTGCAGGTTGGTATGTCAACCCATTTGGTAAAGTAGAAGAAATCTTCCATTGAGTAGGTCAAGATTTCTTGCTCATAAGTTAAAATATGGGGTCTCGGAGGATCCAAGAACCCTTGAACTCATGTGCCATTTTGTTTATAAATGTGTGTGTTGCATATGTGTTCTACAGAGGAGATCAATGCCTTGAATGATAGTCTCAAAGGAGTGAACAGCTCTTTAGGTGGGTGTTACCTCATGTGCTTCAGCCGTGAAAACCGTCCCGTCCCATTGAATGTAACGTAGTGAAAGCAGCAAATTTGTCTGAATTCAAGAAATCTGCTTCTGAGAAACCTTCTTAAGAAAAGGAACTACAAAGCAGACTTCAGCACAGCACTTCTATTCAAAGTTCCAAAAATTGGAGAAAATTCCAGATGTAAGTTTGGTATCATATTTGAAAATCAATCAATGTCATTTACACAGACTAAAGCAAAAAAGCTGTATTATATCAACAGGAGCAGTAAAAGCATTTGACAATGATGAGGATGTTACTCTCTTGTGGCATGTGACATAAGAAGCATACATAGTATTCCCCTGGCTCCTAACAGAACTCCTAAACTCTGTAATATCCTAAGTTGTGAGAGTATCTTTGGTATAGAATTTAGCTTTCATCCTTGGCTGTTGGAATAGCTCAGGAGTGATAAAGATAAAAGAAATATCTCTGGTGATTTCGACAAAAGTCCTGTAAACCCTGCGCAGCTAATGCACTGGCTTTTGAGAAGGCTCCAAAGATGGTGTCACCGGCAACAGAGAAGGCAAACACAGGGTAAGAGGGGTGGCATTTTCAGCCCCACTTCCTAGTCTCTGAAGGAAACAGGGGGCCTGAGGACTGAGTTTAATCACCTGGCTAGTGGTCTAATCAATTACGCCTTCATAATGATGCTGTCACAAAACCCCAACCCAGTGGATCCAGTGACCTTCCAACTTGGGCATCACAGAGGTGCTGGGAGAGGGACAAGCATGGAGATCCATCCTATGCACTATCTCCTCCATTAGGCACCTCCTAAATCCTGTCCTTCCTGTCAGCCAATCAGCAGAAGCGTTGTGAGTTCTGTGAACCAGTCAGCAGGAGCCGTTCTCTCTGAGTGAGCCACTTCCAAGGAGGAAGTAGTGGGAAACTCTGGTGATCTATAGCCAATCAATCAATCCAAAAGCCAGGAGGCCTGAACTTTCAATTGACATTTGGAGTGTTTCTTAATCTGTGAGATCTTATACTAATTCCAGATATTAGAGCTGAAGTAAACTATGCTGAAGACACCAGCTGGTGTCCAGAGACTAGAAAGGTTGTTTAGTGTGGACAAACCACACATCTGCTGTCAAAAGTTAGTGAGAGAGAGGATTCCCCTAACCGTTTATCACTGCAATATGATTATCTGTTCATTTAAGGGCTGGGGCTCTCTATTTTTTAATTTAACATAGAATAATTCAACATGCAAAATATACTTATGTTCTAATTATGTGTGTGTGTGTGTGTGCGTGTTATACACAGAGAGAGAGAGAGAGAGAGAGAGAGAGAGAGAGAGCGAGCTCCCTTCCACTGACTGAATCCTTAAATATCCACAGTAGCAGTAGCTGAAACCAGGGACTGGGGACTCAATCCAGATGTTCCACATGGGGGATAGTAATCTAAATACTTGAGCCATTGCTGTTGCCTCCATCCATCGGTTCACTGCCCCTATGACCACCACAGCCAAGGCTGAACCCAGGTAGAGCCAGCAGTCAGGAACTCCATCTGAGTCTACCACATGGGTAGCAGGAAGCTGCTGTCTCCCAGGTGGGCTTCAGCAGGAAGCTGGAATTGGAAGCAGGGACTGGAACCCTGACACTCTGATGCAGGATGCAGGTTCTCAGGAAGGACCTTTTTTTAATTTAACCTAATTTAACTTAACATGTCTGAGGCACCAACCGCCCACCCTGCATCCTCACTGTTGCTCCAAGGGCCTGCCGCACCTGTACTTGTCTGCATCTTTGAATTCCAATCATTAAACACAGAACCTGTTACCAAAGTAATAGGTAAAGACCTATTAGTGAATCAGGCAGCTCACAGTTTTTCTGCTGGAAAATATGGTTAAGATGTGTAACAATACTGCATGAATGTGATCCTAACCCACAGTCCAATAGGTTATTTGGGGGGAGTCCCCAAACCATCTGTGTGTGACCCTGGGAACACACAGCACAAACTGCACATCAGTGGGGTGCTGCTGATATAGCTCAATTCCTTTCATGAAGCGGGTTTTCACCCACCCACGGCCTGGAGCGCTGTCCTAAACACTGTGGCATGTGCTGACTGGTCCCATACCTGGATGCCTTGGGTGCCTCCCTCTCC